AGGTTAGTAGCAGATCAAATTCACTCTTAAACCGTTACCTGACAATCATCTTAAGAGAAAAAATAGATGAATAAGACGTTCTTTGGCTCGCTTACTGCCGCTAATTTGGTTGAAGCCTCATTGTCGCTAACGAGACAGGGCCGATGAATAATAAACGCAAAAATCACACACCATTCTTCTTCCAATTTGAACTGTACGATTCTTCTCATTCAAGCAAATATGTTTCTTAAACTGCAGATGACAAATTCCCACTCACTCAAGTCTGGTCTTATGTGGAACTTGCGCCAAAAGGAGACACTAGCCCATAAGGTACCTATTGTGGCGACACATGATTACGTCGATGTCACAATGGCCAGCCATTTTCTTCAATAATGCGGGTTTGTCTTTCCCTTTCACAAAGAAAACTTCAACAAAGCTATGATTTGGTCGTTGAGTAAGAAACAAAAGGTGCGTGGGCCTCACTAAGATAAACACGTGGAAAGATTTAATTGTCACTTGTTTTTTGCATAATTGCCTTAACATTAAGTCTGCGTCAATTGGTTTTGTGGCACGCTTCAGGGGAGCTAAAAATTGACGATTTTTCTGTGTTCTTGCCCGTCGGATACCTTACAACTTTTAGCTAAAGAGACATATATTTCCCTTCATCAGCTAGGAATACTCGGAAGACACTAATGGATTTTGCTAATCCTTAAATTTGCTCGCTAATATCTTCGATGACCTTTTGCAAGAGAGGACAATTTACTATTTCGTGTGAAGCAAGGCGCAAATTAAATCTACATTTATGAGGACAATAACTTAGCACTTTTAAAGTCTGGTGGGCTGAGAGGAAATGACATTTGCCTTTGAGGAAAGCTTAAATCTCCATTTGTGACAAAAAGCGTGAAAAAATCCTTTCATAAATGTCGTTCGAGCGTGTCGCCGTGGCTGAAAAAAAAAGTATCGATATTTTTCTACAAGTTAAGTGAATGACAATGATCCTCGAAAACTCTCGTTTCTTTCATTTTGAGAATGAAATGATTTTTAATAGCAATCGATACTTCTTGTATCCAAAAGATGATATTTTCCTCTTTTTTTTTGTTTTGCTTTTCATGCACTTTCGATCTGAGTTCTCTTGGATGACGGCAAGTGTTCCTCATGCATCACAAATAAAATGACAAAAATTCAATTAAAGAGTCGTTTGTATCTTTCCTTTTAACAGTTGGTTTAGTTAATTGTCTTGCTGTGTCAAAGTTGATTTTACTTCAGGAGTAATATGCTTAAGAGAAATTGTTTTCTCTGCCTTAAAGTTGCTGACACCTGAAAAGTTATTGCCCGCGGCAACAATTGCGCCTTCGTGAATATATCCTATTTACACTTGCATATACATTACACCTTTGATAACATGAAGAACTTAGAGTCGCCATAAAGAAATAGAATCACGAATAGGCTACTTTAAGCTAAAAGTTCAATGAAAACACCTCATCCGTTCAACTCTACAAATTATTCTACCCATAAACGAATGTTTTTCACATATTGTGAATTGGGACGCAACAATTACGTACCATGGTATTTTTTTTTGTTCAAAAATTGTAAATGCATCATAAATTGCAAAATTGTGAATAATCAATATATTTTAATGTAATACCGCTCATGATTTATATATTTTTAAGCTCGTTAAGAACAAATTTACGCTAATCTTTCATATTCAACTTCAGTTCTAACACATAATTTCTCGCTGAATTTCTCGTGGACACTGTGGTCTACAAGACCGACGTATATGCTTGCTCAACTGGCCAGATGTTGTAATCATCCTATATCCTTATGTTCGCCCCTCCGGTAACTTTATACTGATACAATCGATGTTTTTAATTCATTTTAACAATGATCTGCTTTAAAAACTTCTATCTTTTCTTTATCATAGAGTATTGGAGAATGTATCCTTGTCTTTTGTCATGATCAGGCTGTACAATTTTGTGCAAAAACAACATGATCACAGACAATCACGAACTGTATTAGATTACGGACTAAAATTAATAATTGCCAACACTTTCACTATTTTTCTCGTGGGAAATACTCTTCTGCTCCGTGGCGGAAATTTCCTGACGCATTACGGCAACAATCGAAGTTACAACACCGGCTTCTGTAAAGTTGATACACGACAAAGCGCGCCCCTCATTTAACCACACCTTTACAGCTGATGAAGGCTTTCAAAGAGGAAATTTTACACAACTCGAATTAGTTAAACATTCAAATGTGCCAAGAGGATGGAAAGTGGTAATTCTCCGCGGTAATTATGGCACCTCTGGCCCACAAGCCTGAAATTTCCGGATGAAAGTAATAATTGTTTTTATTGAAGTCCATTTCGAGATTTGCCTCCCTGTTTGAACAACACGCTCTACAAATTTCCACAATCTTCTCCCTTATTCCTGAAGCGACTTGATATACTACTATCTCGACAACGAATCATTTCAGAATATTGCAATTTAACGATGAATTTAAAAGACTTGTTTGGAGAAAGCTTAAGAAAAAACATTGAGTCTTTTTGTTCTCGGAGTGAACAAGGCCGCAAAGCGTGTGCTAGAACACCATGTTACCATGACGATAAATGAATATTGTCAATTTGAGAATGATGGATGTCTTTGCCCCGAAGATTTGAGTGATTGTTTTGACTCATTGATGAGCGCTTGAAAATTTAGCTCTGGTAGTGCCTTTCTTGTTTGTATTTCTTAAGCCTTCCATGTTGCCATTTCGCTCAAATTCAGTCATGTTTTCGCGCACGAAAAATTAAAGATTTATCGTGGCTTGTGCAGCTTGAGAAGTCCTAAAAATCAATTATGCCTTATAATTTCTCAGAATTCCCGATACACCCCCCACTGGCTTGCACCATTAGGCAAGAATTCTCTCGTGAGAAAATTCTGAAGAATTGTCGGTTTCGCTTTCCTTCATACTATCACCGTTTGGGAACATTTCCCTTCATATGAAACCATCGACTATTTGAAGGGAACATATTGGTTTAATCGGCGATTAAGGAGTTTTCATAACGTAACCACCAATATCACATCAAGATCTGTCATGTTCAGCTAGTGATAACCAATGCTTCGCTGTTCGTGTCCAATTAGCACTTAGAGCTGCGTGTTATAATCAGAGTCATCTCTAGATACTGACTCAGTGCTGTCCCAAACACTGTGATATTTAAACCCCATTGCGAAAATGAATTTAGAAATTACCACATCAATAAATAACGAAGATTTACTATATCTAGCGGAGTCAAATATGCCTTAAATCTACAGCTGGTCAATTCGCTTTCTTGCTAATGTTATCTAACTTTCGTATTATAAATTCTTGTGCGATATTACCACAACATGTCTCACGTAATGAGGACCTAGCATCTTCGATCAAAGGAGTTTAACCTTTAATTCAATTTCAAACAAACTACAGTAAACCAGCGTAAAAAAAACAACAACTTGCCAAATTCTATTTCTTGTATTAATTTACACCTCCAGTTATAGACATTCCACCTCCGGATTCTCTCTTTTTAATGTACGTGTGCATGTCGCGTTAGCCATAATTCAGTTAATTTCGATTTCAACGATGCTTTTCTTCGCCGTTACTTTATTCGAATAATCTCAGCCTTAAAGACAAGGTTCACCCGATTTTAGAGAAAAAAAAAGATCATTCGTTCAAGAAATGTAAGTTTGTGTTGCGTTTCCGCGCAGTAATGATAATTTGAAATTGATCACGAACAACAGGGAAAATGAATCCATTGAGTTCTATTTTTCAAATAGCTTCAACAGCAGTTCAATTTCCTATTTATCCCACGCAAGAGTTAATGACTCTCGACAGTTTTCTGTCGGCAACTAGCCAAATTTTCAATGAACACATCTAACATGATCTCTCTGTAAAATAAACTAAAAGCGAACACGAAGTTTCCTGTATACCGCATCGTATTTAATCTGTAATCTGTACAGAAGTCATCTCTAACGGACATGGATTTTTCATTAACCCCTACATTAAGTCGATTTTATTTCCATTGCACGGAGGCAAAGGCCGTAAATTGCTTTTAAAGGCCAGATCAACAAGAATTAACCAAGAAATTACAGGTTCAGGGAGATTGGACCGTAAAAGCGTTGATTTCGACTGCGTAAACGAGTTTTAGTCGAGTTCATGGTATATTCCATCGTCAAAAACACAAATTGTAAACATACTTTACTCATTTTTAATTGTGTAAGTTAGATCGCTAGGCTATTCGTCTCTTTATGAAGGAAAGATGTGTCTTTGAAATTGCTGTGAAAGTGGGTTTTTAGAAGGAATGAATCTCGACTTTAAAAGAAAGTTGAGTTTTGATGGTCATGTGTTATTTAAAGAAAAAAATAACAGGTGGCAAAAACCAGAGGCTACAGCATATATAATATTTAGATTTAGGGTGCATAATTATACATCGAGAGCCCATGAAATCTTATTTTCGCAACTGGAACTCTCTCACTCGTGGTGCTTTATACAACTTTAACAAGTTACTTAAATACGTGAATGTGATTCAATTCGATTACGCCAGAAATTCTTCTATTATGGATGCTGCATCCGAAAAATTCCCTTTTGCCTTGTTTCGGGTGCACAAATATTCATACAAACAACTGGCGTAAGAAAACCCCCCCTGAAATGTCTCGTTCTAGATGTTTCTGTAAGATGGTGTTCAAGCACATAAGGGACACTGATAGACAAAAACATCTACGGTTTTTAAGTTAATAACTTTTATTTCTTCTTCAATACTTTCTTTTTTTCAGCAAAGCCACTTCTGATTCATTTACAATCTTTATGTCCTGATAAAGGTCAGCAAATATATGTTACATACTGGTTATCTTGAAATTTATCTCTGTACAACTTTACACTAGGTGAATTTTCTTCTATAAGGCTTTATAAATTGTATATACCTTTCAGTTTTCGCCTACTTGATCTCCTTAAATGCCGCTTTAAAAAAGATTGTACACTATTTGCACTCTTGTAGGCAAAGAATAGTTTGTACTGGCGTGTAACCTCATCCTCTGAGAAAAGCTGAGGTAAATGTTATTATAATTTTATAACAAGAAAGGTCCTCCAAACTAACAGGAATTAACAGAAATTAAAGGGAAGAAACTGAACGAAGAAAGTTCTCATCATTGCGAATTATCTCTACGAAGAATAAAAATACAAAGATGGATTTGAAGTCGACTAAAAAGATACTAATAAGATCCTAGCATAAAACGAATTCACAGAGGTTCTTAGTAAGTAAGCACTTATCCTTGAGAAAAGAAGAAAAAATTTTGGTATCAGTAGAACCGCATTTCTTCGTGTGTGTGTCTTCAATGAAAGAGAAATTCTTTTTATTTCTTAAGTCAAGTTTAATATCTTACAAGTGAAATAAGAGTTCTGATCGGAATTATTCTTTGGCGCCAGGTAGGATAATGGATTAATCCAGTAAGAAGAGATCACGTTCGATTAATTCTAGGTGCTAGGCTTTGGAATCGAACGTTTTGCGCCAAAGGCCGATGATAATTACCCGTGATTTCTACTTGTTCGTGAGAATTGTAATTTCCAGAAGATCAAACCAAATGTTCGTTTTCTTCCTTCTGCAGCTGACTGTTTATTCCATGGCATTCGCTGACACTTATGCCGGAGCTTTTAGCTTGTGAAGAAGCTTTTTCCTCAGCCTGTTGACGCTTCCATTTGGTCCTGCGATTCTGGAACCAGACCTTAATTTGCGTCTCGGAAAGACTCAAGAAAGACGCTAACTGCTTGCGTTCTGTGCCCACAATGTAGTGGTTCTTTTCGAAAGCGTTCTCTAGGTGAAGCAGTTGCGTTGGTGTAAAAGCTGTTCTGATCCTCTTCGGACGGCGACACGCCACAAATCCTGTAAAAAGAAACGAAACAGTGTCAAAAAGATAAAACACGCGTTTTCAGATTTCACGCGGTTTCGTGCTCGTTCTTCCAGAAAGCAAATTAGTGTCTTTCTTTAGAGAAAGTGATAGAAAATTATCATTTACCAAAGTTAAACAAATTACAACCCTGCTGGAAAATGCTCTCTTATCTTCATCATGAGCGAAGTAGATAACTCATAATTGTATCTTACGAGAGAAGTCAAATGTTTTGGCAAAATTTGATATCAGTTTCCAAACTGTGAGGTTATCACTTTGAAGACAATAAACGGGATCGAAGTCTTTTTTCGGCGAACGACGCTAAAGTAGACAGTGGGTGGTAGAAACACTTGAAAAGCAAATCTCGCGGTCGCTAACTAATATCTAAGGAATTCATATTAAGAGCTAAAAGGAAAAGAGTCTGAAGACATCTTACCGCTATGCAGAGATCCGGCCGTGTAGCTACAGTTCAAGTCGTGGACGTAGCGATGACTTGACGCGCACGGATAGAACGAAAATGAGCCCGAGTTGTACGCGGAGAGGCTGTGAAGTGGGTGAGAATCAAATCGTACAGCCATCGGGTATTCTGTTTGGGATTTATAGCTCGCGTATGATTGTTGGTTAGAAGGCTGAAGAGCTGAGCTTGGCCGGTACATGGAGTTGATGAAAGACGACTGCGAACCTTCGTAAGCGTGCATCGTGCGTTAGAGATCTATCTGACTCTGGTATTTTTTAAGTTGTGGTTCGCGCTCCACCCAAGTTCAAGAAGAGTGATTTGTTCTAAGGAGCAATCCAATTATATATAGCTTACAATTTCATTATTATTACAATACATTGTTCCCATTTTCAATTAATGACTTGGAACTAATTAAAAGTATAAGCAGCCAAAAAATAAAAGCTGCCGGATACCTCATTGTAATGAAAACTGTGAAATTTAGAAATGAGCTTCGAGGTGAAGTTTCCAGCATCGAATAATAAACATTCGCCAATTTACGCCAGAACAAACATCTCATCACGATCAACAGCGCTTATGATCGGCTCATTTGCGAATTCCCTTTTATTGACGTCTTTGCTCTATTAAGCCAATGATAGCTGGAAACAGCTGATGAAAATTTTAAAGTGGAAGAAAATACTTCTTTCAAAGAAATAAAATATAAACACCATATCGAAAATTGGCGCGGTGTTTCGCGCAAATTTTCCACTTAACCAAGTCAAGTATGAGACTGGTCAATCAAGCCAGAAACAAATTAACTTGCAGTTACGACGTATCCGGGATTTGTAGTGTGCGTAAACGTAATAAAGGTGTCATGATTGTAAGATTGGAAAACGAGGATGAGAATAGGACGAGCAGAAACTGATTTGTCGAAGAATTGAATTTGATCAGCGATTCGTTTACTTTTTGTTTCGCTTGCTTTCATACGCGGTACGATGAATATTATCAATGAAAACCACCATATGGTTAATCGAAAATAGCTTCATTACAATTTAATAATCTCCCATACGAGCTGTTTGGAAATCCACTAAATAATGAATTTCACTTAAGCACAGAACTTTAGGGCATTAACGAGAAAATACGCTATTGTCGCGCTGGTCGGTTTAAAACTCTGAAAAAAAAAAAACGCGGCTCAAGAAATCATCACACTATGTTAAGAGATTGCGCTTGGCTAACTTCGAATTCTTAACCTATTAGCGTTCCACAAAAGACAAGCTTTGTTTGTTTAAACAAAGATGGCCCGTGGCTGATAAAGAAAGACATTCCGTCCTCGCAGTTCATTTATTTAAGCTAAGTAAATTTCAATTAAGAAATATCCGGTAGAGCTTTTGATACTTTGCCTTGATAAAATGAAAGTGTTAGAGCAAAATTACTCTGTTTTGTTCTTGCTCAGCTTCTTATTCAAGCAGTGCTTTACAAAAAGGAAAAAAATCTTGGAAGAACAAGAGAATTCTTCATTCATAAAATTTATTAATTTTCTTGGCGTGGCAAGATGGCCCTATATATCTACACATTTTTGCGGGTAGTTTAAGATACTTTCATGTGTCGTTTGAATTTCTGAGACAGGCAGGGTATTTTTATTTTATACATAACAACAGCTCGCTTTATCATTTAAAACAGTGAGGTGTATCTCCCATTGAACACTTGTTTTTCAAAAACCCATTTGAATAAAATCGTCAAACTTTTTCGCACTTTTCGCTTTCAAAATTTAATGAGATTTAAAAAAACATTTCCCAGCCCTTTTAAAGCAGCTACGAAGTGATACCCTAATGCTCATGTAACTATGGATTATTTTTCTTTATGCACTTAGGCAGCGAGGAAAACTCTACTTTAAACTGTAGTCTAAACGATTCTTTCGCCTAAAGCTGCGGTAATTTCGACAGGATAAACACGATTATTACACGGGAGGTCTATACACAGCTAATGCGCGGGCAATACTTGTTATTTTGTCGCACTGCAAATGGAATATGCATTAGGTCCTAACTGGGAGCTTTACAGTGAGATCATCAGTATTAAAACTCGGGTAAATTGAGCGAGATGACCCGCTGTCGCGAGTAAAAAGATCCGATTGATTTAACCATAATGGAACTGAACTAAAACAAAACCGGGTGGTATTTGAGTGGATCCACGAGTGAAAAAATGCTTCAAAAGAAGTTGTTATTCGAGAAACAGTGAAGTGAGGAATAATAACCGTATTATATTTGGGCGATAAAGTTTTGATTTTAAGTACAAAATCGGTACAAAATCGAGACAGATTCGGCTTCAAGATGAGTTAAAAATTGATTTAATAATTGTGAATTTCATACTTTTTGTTCGCACAGGTGATGGGATTTTATTGCCAATCAATCACTACATCACGTCATGACGCAAGGTTTTTATTTTTTCTTTTGTGCAAAGTTCGCGGGCATTATCTCTTCCTCTCCTAGCCGTAAATGGTTGAGCGATTTTCAATAAAAGATTTATGATAAATACGCCTTTCTGCCTCATAGGACAGAAGATTTTTATTTTTTTCACCATGGGAAAAGACCATCTGGACTGGGCTGTTTCACAATCACATCCCCGTACATTTTTCATAAGCTTGTTTATACAAAATACAAACATCATGCAAACATTGCCATTTGCCCTTAACATCATCGGCAAACGATGTTTAAAGTTTCCTAACGCAGAATAAAAAGGGAATTACATTTTGACGAGTCAATCTGGATGTCGAAAAGCGCACTATTGCCAGCATGAAGGACGCTACCGTCAGATTGGAATGTTTGAAAGCTTACGAGCTTGTTTTTTGTGGACAAAACTAATTTAAGCTGTCTCTAACCGGGTGAAATTTCTGGAAGTGGTATAAAAACACGAATTGAAATACTGAATTTTCACAGCTGTGATCAAATGAACATAGACAAAGACCAAGAACGTGTCGCAATTATCTTCTCTAAAAGATAAAATCAACGTTACTTCAAGTTCTAACCGGCATACGACGCTCATAGATAATTATTGTAGATAAAACTCGTGCCAGTTGAATTAGGTGTTCTCGAGTTAAAAACCGGTATACGTGTTTTCAATGTCAACCTTGTCGTAAAGATGCAGCGGTAAAAACATAACAACACTCACTTGCTTGAAACTGCCTTAGAAAGATAACTTGATCTACTGAAAAATTCTCATAACTGACACTCAAAGAAATATGTATTGTCCACTTTGATAAACTCATCTTCTCAACATTCACAATTTTTGATTTGGTCAATTTTTTTCTCATACTTTCTTTTAAACTCTTAAAATCATTTTAGAACTTAACGATGGGCGAATTTTCACGTTTTTCTATTCTCAAAAATTCTTGATAATCAATCGAGTCGATTTATTTTCCCTGTGGCATTTTTTGTACACTAAAATCCCGATTGCTATAGCCTCAGCTAAGATCTCTCATGTGAGAAAAAAAACAGAAATTATCACGTTTAAACTTATTAATTCGAAACTCAGCAAGCGACTGTCTGTGTTAGGCTAATACCATCCAACTTCAATTGGTCATCTGTGAAAAGCTGAATGTCGTTTGAAGTCACGTGACTTATGCTTCGTCCCAGCGTTCCCTTAAAATTCGTGCAACAGACAACTAAAGAAATCTGCAATAAACACTTCTAAACTCGAGGCAAATAGTCTACTTCTTTAATGCACTATATTTATGAAATATTTATCCATTTCAGTTTTATTATCCTGTCTTAAAGTTCTGGCTGGATATTCTTAATGGGAAATTATCACTTACCTTCGTTTGAGTAAACCAGCTTTTTCAGTATTTTGTTTCGAGGAGTATCATGCTAGCACTCGATTCAACGAAGCGCTGAAATCGATTATACACATGTTAATATATTTATATTCTTTTTATATTTTAATGTTGTTTTAAAAGAATATTTAGGTCCTTTCTTTAGTTGAAAATCACGGTCGTTCTAAATTAAGCTCCACAAGTGAAGTCTTAAGAAAAAGTTGTAATTATGAACATTTGAGAATCACAAGATTGAGCGTTTGGAACTCGGACGTTACCTCTTCATATCAAGCGTTTATTTTCACACTCTCTTTCAATTGCTCCTAAACGATGCGTTGTTACACAAAATTAAAACAATTCTCGTATTCCCTAAAATTATCTATGAATAGCAAGCTAAAATGTTATCCATTAAAACCATGTTAAATGATGTTATTGTTAAAAGTTACATTTGAGCGGTGTTCTTTCATATACTGCGGTAATGGCGCCCTGTCGTTTTATACAACTTTAAAGCGTCAAAAATTAGTCGGAAGCTTTCGAACTCGCTCAAAAAGTTGGCGTCATGTTATACTATCCGCCAGATTGGGAGTTTAAAATTTTAATCACCTGAGTAAAACTAACAATTGTTTAAAACAGCAATGCAATCTCGAGCCGCCACATCTCAAGATATGTTTCCTCAATTTTATACGGGGAAATATCTTCGACAAAACACTCACATGGATTATCGAAAAGTTTCTTTGATTTGAAAGAACAATCCCCATTTTTTGAAGTTTAGTCTACTGTTAAATGTCTTGTTGTCATTAAGATAATAGTGACAGAATAATATAATATCATAATGAAAGTGGCCGCATATGAGATAGAAACAAGAAAATCTAAAAAAAACTAAGGTTGGCTGTTAAATGTTGCCACCCATTTCTCTCACACTTTGCTTTAGAGCTTTGTACTAAATTAAAGCTTCGTTTTTACAAGACATCTTGCTGTTTTCCCTGTGTTCGTATTGTTTTTCAGCTGAGAAACCTTCTTTTCTTGTTGCTAGACTCCTTGCCAGTGGTAAAACAAGCTTCAGTGTTGTCACATACAGAAAAACACGTGAAACCACCAGGGACATTAAAATGCCTTTGTTCCCAAACTGGGTCCTCATCTGAATGAGTTCTTTGTTCCGAAGGCCAGTATTGTTAGTATCAGCGTGAAAATGCTGCGTTCAATTGAGTTAAGTGCTTTATGAACGAACTTTTTCACAGAGGCTCTTGACTTGTGTGAGAAATGTAACCGATCTCTCAATGTTGAAATTTACCTCTGATTATGGCGTTCATTAGCATTAAAAAAGAGGAAACCTTTAAGTCGAGAACTGTAAACATATTGATATCCTCTTCAGTGCATGTAACTTCAACGTCTACAGGGGAGTTTTCATGTATCGATCTTTTGTCAATAAGACAAGATTACGGGTTTGTCCGCGACAAAGTGGTGGCTGTATTGTTCTAATAATAGCAAACAAAAAGACTCTATAATCAGCAACATTTGGTTGTATTGAGCGATCGATTGTTCGAATTCAGCATGATGACAAACGAACTCCCACGGGAATTTCTGTTGCATTTTAACAACTACTCAAGGCAAAGGCCGAGTCGAGTTGAAGGTAAAGAGTCGGAGTAAGACGAAAGCGAAATATTATCTAGTGAACATATCTGCTATATATTTCTTCGTGAAAAAAATTTTTCTCTGTTTGAAGAGGGAAACGATTCACTCCTTCTTTAAAAGGGCTTAGGTAAGTTTTAAGATAAATTAAAGAAAACTATAAAAGTTTCTTGGCAAGCAAAAGTTATTTCTTACATATTTTCTTTGCTTCGTGGTATATCATAATTATTTGTTTAGCGAAGTGAGTTGTGAGGTTTTCGTAGAAAATGACACACGATGTTTTTACACCACTCGGGGATCGAGTTGGATACTTAGATGGCCTCACAAGAACGTGTTCTTGATTACTTTTAGAAGCTTCAAAATCAAATACACTTGGTTAATTTGTTCCCAAGTGTCCACTGATATCTGAGCATTGTCTAGTTCTGCTAAAAATTGGAAGTTGTAGTTGTAACATCCTTCTAAAGAGATGTACAGATATTTTTGTAAAAATGACAAATTTTCAGGAAGACACATTAAGATTTGTTTAAAAATATAAGTATATATATCATTATGATTTTCTACACTCCCAAGAATCTTAGGCAATCGTAGTCAGGAATGAAATATGGCATCTCCTAAAGGACTCAACCTGGTGCAGGGACAATCCCGGTGGGAGGGTCTGTGGGGGTCCGGATCCCCCTTCCCACCAGACCTATACTTCTCTGCTTATTTAGGCTATAGATTCGAAAAAGAAAAGTTTGCTGTGTTCCTGAATTTGTTTGAACCATCTCCCTTCAAAAATTTTTGGCCTGGATCCGCCCTTGCGAGTGTGTGGGTCAGGGGGAAGGTACGCAAGCCCATATCCCCAAACAGCGACTGATAATCGAGCCTACCCTTGTGAAGCTACTCTGAACCAGTTGACAAAATGGCCCCACAAAGGGTTAAAACAGGTTTAGGGCCATAGAGCTGAATCGGCCCTTTGGGGCTGAAACAGGTCTTTTGAATTTACAGTTTAAAGCTCATAACGGAGCCTCTTTGTCAGTATTTGTTTCACCATATTTTACAAGATAGTGCCCAGTTTTATTTGCAATGGCAAGCATTTGAGAACTATTGTAGCAAATTCACGATTTGAGCGTTTTCTTAAACTGTACTTCCTTTTAAAAAGTACTATAAATATATTAAAAATTCTCACCTCTATAAGAAAGAGAAAGATTGTCGCTTTCGTCTTTTTCTGGTCTAATTTCTGAGGACGGAGGCCTCCCTTCACAACATCAGCTTTCTACAGGTTCATACTCCAAGGTGCAAAAAATGGCTGAATTCGTATCATAGAACGATTAACATTCCGTTCTCTACAATACCCAAGCGGGAGGTCTCTGTGAAAAAGTCCGGCCACACGAAGGTCGTCAATACAGGCCAAACCCTTTGACTATGTTTGGTCTGACAGGTAGACTTCTCTGACTCAGTAAATATCCCCCCTCCCCTTCCAAAAGAGGTATTCCTCACCTTGCAAGCGCTCTTCGAGTCCATTCAGGTGGCGCACGTTAATGCTGACGCTTGCGTGACATATCCAGCTTTGCACAAAGTTTGTCGATGAATCCTTGAATGAACGAAACATAATCTCAATTCTTTGAAAAAGCGTGAGGACAAATAAACTCAAATCGTTATTAAAATCCTATTGGAGCTGTGCAAACATGCCCACAAGAGCGTGGAAACGTCACGTCACGCAGTTGACCTTTGTCATGGAAGGTCACTACTGATGTTCGTTCATTTATATCCTATGAGGAAAATAATGAATTCTTAATAAGTTAAATTTATGAAAGTTCCCTTCACCTATCATTCCCTCTATTCTATCCAAATTGTGCATTTGTACCACGGCAGTAACTTCTCCTTTCGTTCAACCCACGTGCTCATGGCTACGAAGTAAAGTGGCCCACGCTGATTGTTTAACGAGGTGAAATGAAACGCCAAATTCGTCTCAAAATGACGAAAATTGCCAATAATTTTCACCTGTAGAGATATGAAGACCTTCGCATAATTGTAATTTGAAAAACATCCTTAAATTCAACCACCAAAAGTTGCCTCAAGAATATCAACTGGATAATGATGTGACGCTGTGCACGCAGACGAGCCGTGCGGGAATTGAGTTCTTATTCATCAGACTGACCCAAAATAAAGGGTAGCGGTATAAGTTTCCCGCCAAAGGTGCAATCTCGAGCTCAGGGTCATTCTGGCTCCCTTTCAGCGGTATGGTCGCCAACAAATGAACTCTTTTGTCTCAGATAATGTGCGATTCCGGTTTTATTGCGCATTAGTACGTTCTTGAGAAATGGCTTACGATATTTAGTAACATCACTGTTGGTCCTAGTAAAAACCTAACCACAACAAAGGGAAGTTAACCGTTTTGCCGTAAAATAGCTAAAAATTTTAGCTGTTATTTTCGCCCTATCGAGACCCTCTTTGACTATCTCTGAGTTCCTACAACAAATATGACTTTATTCACATATGTTCCCGATAAAGATACTTTGATTTCATTGATTATACTTAAAAATTACTACCTAAATCGTTACTTTTTTAAATATGCTCTAACAGCCAAGTTAAAAATATCAATTTTTCGTTTGAAATAAGAGAATAAGAAATTCATAATAGATCTTGTAAAACAAAAACTGAGCAAAGTAATGAATGCAAACAACCAGTTTGAGCTGAAGAAAATAACACTGCGAGCCAATAACAATTCAAGGTAAAACAAGCAAACTGTTTGCAGCGCGGGAAAACGCGGATGAACACTTTTGAATCTGCTCGGCTGAGCAATAGGTGCGAGTATTCTGGACCAATCCCATATAAAAGTAAAGGAAAAACCAATTCAAAACGGAATATCTAGGGACAGCTCTCAACAATCAATTGAAAATTGCTATATAACCACCGAGGTGATTTCATTATTAACAGGACGATGAAAAGCTTTCGAATGATTCGTTTATTTCCTCGTCACATGATTTGTTGTGGAGTAAGATAAATATAAAGCGATGGAAATTAATTTCAAATGAAACTTTCAAATGTTTATAATATCAAACAATGTCCTGTTCACTGTCTTCAGGGTCTTCTTCGTCTGAGTCCGACACAACTGAAAAAATAAATTGCAAATCGTTAATAAATTGTAATACGCCGACTGACTAACTAACTAACATACTACTGAGGCCGGAGGGACGAACGAACAAAAAACCTGGTGATTGACCGACCGAGTGATCCACTGACTCACTGACCGGCCGAATTACCGACGGACGGACTGACCGACAGACTCGCTGCCTGGCCTGGTGCTATCTGCTTGACTGACTGACAAGGGAAACGAAATGTAGAATTAGTATAGTTTTTTTTGACAGCTTAAAGTTTAAAATTAACTTTGGAATAATACAAAATTCTTATAAAACAACATCTAGAAATAAGCTGTGAAAAACGTACCTGTTGACATAACATCTATTTCTCCTAAAATCATTTCAAGCTGATTGACAGTCTCTTTGGAGTTTCGGCGCAATTTGTCCTCTATATTTTCTTCGTCACTCGGCCTTCTCGCTTCTTTATGGGACACACTTTGCCTTCTTATCTTAATTTCAGGTAAAGGTGCTTTTTGTTGCGTCCATGAGTTTAATATTTTATCAACCAACGCGGCCCGCTTCATAGCACTTTGCCAAATGTCACGTAACCTTTCCTGAGCTTGTTGCGTGACTCCGGATTGCATATGCTCATGTCCTTCCTCGGGTAACCCATAAGCATGGCGTGACACTTGGGGTGACTCTAATGCGTTCAAACTCAAATAAGATCTTTTATTCCTGCGATCTTTATCGCGCGAATACCTTTCTCTTAGACGTTTAAGTTCTGACCGGTTCCTCTTATCCTCTTCTTCTCTTTTCTTGTACTCTTTCAAGCTGTGGTCTATCTCAGAATGCAGTGTTCTGGACTGCAGTGAATTTATATTGTCTTTTAATCGCTGAGCCCTAACTGATTTATCTGTAGAATTGGCATAGATTCCTTTTAACCTCTTGTACACCATTGCTTCCTTTTCATTCATCGCTACGATCTCGTTCCTCTTGCATGCTGATGTTAATCCTGTGTTTGTCAGGCGGCTTATTGTTGGGTTTCGACGCTTGTGATTTGTGCAGCCTTTTGCATGTACATTAGTTTGTTCTGCACGCATTCTAGCCCATGTCTTGGCCCAAGCCTGCTGTCCTTTATCTCCTGTTTCGGCTTTAATCCCAACTTTCCTGTTCCCCGGCCGCAGATTGTATTCCATTGGTGGAAGATTTCGTGAGTGCGATTCTGTGGTGGACACTGCGCGTCTGTTGAAGCCCATTTCTAAAGTAGACACTGATTGGGAAAAACACACCAAGTTAGGAAAAAATCTGCACGTTGAGGAGACGTTTAACAAATAGACTTGTCCTTATGTCGAAAATAATTAACAACTATCCACTAAAGAGGAGGTGGCTAGTGATGGACATACCATGAATAAAATTACCTTTTTATTTTCAGTTTTATAACAAATCATGACAGAGCCTAAAAGACATAGGGCAATTACGAGACTTCTTAATGGAGTAATCTGCCTCAGATTATCCCTCAGCATTTTGCCAGGTTTTCCATGACAATTCGTCGGTACCATTTAGACCCCAATGCTAGTAATCATATTCTTAAGAGTTCAAGGCTTAATACACCCTAAGCCTGTTTCAGGCGTTCAGTTGGTAAAACGGCGCAAAATAGCAAATGGCGCGATAGTCGCGTTGGAGTGAACAGCGAGGGAAGCCTGGGTCGGGTCAGGTAACCCGCTCCAAACCTCACTCGTTTTTTAACTCCTTTGCTACTATAGTGCTGTTTACTATCGTGTTTTTTTTTAAATAACTGAACGCCTGAAACAGTTAATACACCCTTCATGCAAAAAGTTAAGTCAATATCACTCAGTGCCCAGAATTCGAGAAGGACCTTAACGCTCGGTAGTCAAGCTCGCTAACCATTTGGTATCGCGTCTCTCAACAAGCAGTTTGAGTAAAACCTTTCTTTCAGTCTTGGGATAAGAGGGCTTGGGTTATACTTACATCCAGCGGGCCTTGAATTAGGCCAGCTTCTTGCGCCAGTTCCCGGCACTAACATTGGACGTTGTCTTTGAAATGACATCCAGGCTTCCCGCGTCCCTCTTATCTGGTGATTGCGAAAGCTAAAAATGATAAAAGGGCATGCTGTTAGCTCGTTCAAGATCCTCGCATTACATTAAAGAACAGGGAAGTGAAGGCTTATTTTTCGTGATCTCAGCTTGAAAATGATTCCTACTTTAAGCAAACAAGAGAATATCAACTGTTTATGATCTCTTAAAGGAGGTAAGACGGAAAAGAAAGAACATTTGTATTTCGCAAAAATTTTCATCATATCACTTTAGCTGGTCACAATGACAAGCTTTCTTCAACTTTTACAATTCCGAAAAAAAAATGTAAATACGCACATTAAACATTTACGTCAAAAATAACACTTGAAACAGGTTAAGCAGGGCGTCACAGCAACAATTATGTAAATAGTTGAATCATACATGTCTTTAGCTGAGTTTATACTTATGATCTATCAGTGGACAGACGCATAAATGTCGTCTCCGTCAACAACATGTTACTTCTTTATCATATAAAACAAATAGATTCCATGCTGCCGCGGGTCTGCACAGTAACGGAAGACGTCAACATTTGGTAACAAAATCAGTGACAAAGTCGGCTACGTGTCTTGTGCTATTTTTTTGTCCATGCCACATTTTGACGTAATATTAGATCAATTTCTAACCCAGACACTGGGTTATGTGAAATCTATGTGTCAATCAAATTTTTGTCGCCTGCTTGCAGGCATTTGTACACCGAAGTGAAAATATTCGAACGAAGTGAAAGAGTCATGATTTGATAAATGGTGAAAGAGGAAGTACAATATAATTCATTGTTGCGGTTTACCCGATGCCCTAAATGTAATACTTGAACTTACTAATTACAATAATTTTACTCAACCGCAAACGCGCTGAGCCATTTATTAACAATCTAAATGAGTGCTCCTCGTCAAATTTGCTTTTTTTAAATGTCTAATTGTTGAATACATTTTGTGAGAGAAAATTGAAAAAAAATTTTTTTCCATGAAACAAGGAAGTATCTCGCAAAAATGCATGTTCTATGTCGAATTTAGGATGTATTTCATTATCATCACTCGTGTTTCAATAAACATATCGACCTTAAGCACGGGTTTTCGTGTCAGGAACATGACAACATGCCGTTGGAATTAAAGAAATTGCAGTTAAAAATTCATGTTTTGCTTGGACCAGCTAATTCGGTGGCAGTTCGTTGTAGGCAGCTTGAACAATTTTTTGAATCCCAAAACAAGGGCAAATTGATTATACTTTTGGAGACAGCAACTGAGCAAAAACGAAACAAGTGGGCGAAGATCGTTGGTTGCAAATGGGAAGGCGTTTATCATCCATTAATCAGTATCTGCGGAAATGGCTTGGAAATTTGATTTATACATACATCAGTTGTCTTAGAAATATTGGTCAAATGGAGAGAAAAACAATCCAATGTTTCACTTGCGTCAACTTTTCGCACTCTGTCGGAAATTTACGGATTACTTTGACGCCTTGGTGTATATTAACTGTCTCCTAAGAGATTTATTGCTCTGTTGCAAGCAGATACATTTTTGCACGGAATGGTTCGTTCTCTCGTTTGAAACTAAGAAACGCCATCATCCGAGTAATGTAAATCCCTGTTAGCTCGCCTGTAATTACTGATATATCAACAACGAATAAAATTCTTTTGTTAACGTTTCGATAGACACAGCAGAATAAATATACCATTTCCTCAAAGTGTTTTTTGTTTATACTTCCAAAGGGCAAACATTTTCTTAACTGTAATCAGGCATTACTTAATGGCGAAAGACAGCTAAACAAGGAAGGAATGCTATCAGTGATCGACCATCGTAATTTACACTAAGACGTAGTTTCTATTTTGAGTTCAACAAAGAACGCATCGAAACTTGTTGGCTTTCGTAACTTATAGCAACTCTAAAATTTTAAATTACTTACGTTTAGTTTCTTCACGATGTGTTAGCATCACAGCGAGTTGCATCTATATTTTCACTGGTTTCCCACTGAGGTAGACTAAAAGTTCTCGGCTCGAGGAGTTTATGCTTTGTTTAACGTTTCAGCAATCGTGCGGCCCAATGTTTATTCATCAACAAGTGCATTGAATTACACATGCAAATTAGGAATTAGTGAAAATAATACAAATCATTCTTGTACCATTGACCGGCCACTCAATGAATCACTCACAAATCAGTATTCTTATCTTCAGAATAATCTATGCTATAAAAAAACCAGCCATTTTAGCAGTTCTGCTATAACCCACGTTATTCACCTAAAGCGCAGATATTACAGTTTATCACAAGAATCTGGCAAAGAAAGTGAAACATATATTACTAAGAGAGGGCTCACCGTTTTTCTTTTCCTTTACAGTTTGCCCCTGTTTGAAATGCAAAATTAACCCTGAAACTCTAGCTATCTTGAATGTTTGAAACGCCGTCACTGAACAAAGAGCATTCTACACCCACGGCCAAAAGTGCTACAAGTCTCTTTTACCGAAGAATGCTAAGTTGATATCTTTAGAACTTCGGAGATAAAAGAGTAGATAAAAGAAAAGAGTAAATAGTTTTGATCCCTCAGGCTTAACACGGTCTACTTCGCGCGAACATTTAGGGACAATTTGGTTTCGCAATTCCTTGACAACGGCGCAAGAGAGCTTTTGTCCAAAATCTGTTTGCAAACAAAAGATAGAAGGACAATTCACTCGTGGCAACGAAATTTTCTTATTTCGCGTACCGTAGTACTTGTGTCGTTTGTTTAAGAAGGCGAGTGGAAACGAGGACAAAATTTTGTCATGCAGCTGAACTTAATCACAACAGATTTGCTCTGATCTAGTAATCGCATATTTCTTTACTTTAAGGTCTAGGAGAACAATGAACGGATAATTTATTTTTCATTACAAAAGGATGATTGTAAGATGCGGTTTTAAACCCAGTTCCATACCTATTAACCTTCAATCCTTTCATCCAAACCTTGGTAGCATACATTTGATGAAACGAAAATTAAAAAAAAGAGTATAATTTACATTATGCTCCATTAAGAGTGGTCGAGTCTTTGGACTAAGGAATTCGAGGTAGCACTCTTTCACTTTAAACACCCTTTAACAGAGAACAAAATTCTTCCCAACATTTAGCTTAACAACTGGTGTTGCAATCTATATGGGATTTTACCATTACAAATTTTCATCTGAAACTGGGCGAGAATTCTCTTACTACGCTGGATTACTTTGGGATAAGAGCGGTGTTATGCACACGCTGCAAAAGAGATTCTCAATTTTTCATCAGTCGAAAAAAGCAAAGCACAATTTTATGTATATTGTTCTCAGGATAAAAAATAATTTTCTGTCGTTTACCTCTCTCCACGAACTTGCCATGTTGTCGAGTGGCCTTCCGACCAGTACGCCATTAATATACACAAGTTATTCAGTTGTCAAAACATCCCCGGACCCGTGCAAAATTATAATCGGATTAAAACATTTCGGTACAGTCACTGACTAGACTTTCTTTTCACTTTTGTCTGGCGCTTCTATTAACGAATTGCTACAAGATAACATGTTATTTTGGGATTAAGCCTTGACGAACAGTGACAGCGACTAAAAGATTGTTGTTCTCCCTTACCGCACACTGACAGTACTTACGCACATTTATCCCCTTACACCCTAATATCAGTATGTATATTCTCCATACTGTTCTCTATAAATTTCTTCAAGTGCTGACAAGGAGAATTTGTTCAACAATCACGAGTTTCTTAAATTGGTGATCATTTCCTTTATTCTCGTTACCTTAATGTGTGATTCAGGGTTGATATAGTAAGGAGAAAATAGATGCTGGTCAATCTTAAGGGTTTTAAGGGTTAAACCGTCTATCAATATCTTCCATACAAAACGATTTTCACTGAAGTAAACTTTGTGAGTTAGTAGTTCAATAAAAGTAATTTAATAATAATAATTTTAGTCTACAAAGATCGATTTTAAGTTGCAAACTTTAGATCGCTCGCTATACTAAGAAAATTATTTCTTGCAAAAACCTAGTTTATCTTTAATGAAACATGCATAAAGAAATTTAGGTGGATTATCCGAAGCCATTCATAAGGAATTATCGTTTGAGTATACCTGGGAAATTTAATCTCCACGGTATCAACGAGCGCTTTTCATTCAACTATTTATTTTTGTTTTCTCGTCACCATATTCCCACTAATAGCGTAGCTACATTTTCTGAATATAAACCCACACTCCACCCACACCCACGCTCGAAACGTCAGCTTTTAAACTCTTTACGGTGACCAATTTACGTTATCAACCCAGTTGATAATACTAAACTACCCTGTTCAACTTTCACCGACGCAGCACCACAGTTTCTATAAAAACTTACCCCCTTTATCATTTAAGTATGTTTGTTCCTTAGAATGGATGTAAATGAATACTATAAAAACATCTGACGGCAAAGATCTAACTAACTACCGTTTGAAACTGAGAACTCTATTACAGAATTAGACAACAGTAATGAGTACAATATGATCTCGTACGGATGTTTGCAACATGTTTGCAAACATGCCAGGAAAATCATATTGAAACAATTTCCGGCGAAATTCTCGAAAATTTCGTTTAAAGGCAGACTGGTTTTTGGAAATTCACTGAATTCAAAGCTTATTACAGTCCAGTTTATGTTAGAACAATAACGTAGTTCACTCATAACCAAATTTATTGCTAACCCTTTTTAGTCCTGTGGTTCAGGAGCAATCTTCGTTTTGAATTTTTTTTTTTAAGTAACGACTTCTGCTAGCATGCTAACACTCTTTCCTGTTCGTATAAACTCTGTTTTCAAACAGGATATCAGTGCTATGTTGAAAATGTCTTAAAAGAGGATGGTGTTATTATGGTAACAACAACAAAGCGAAACAGCAAACGTTGACTTACGCATTATTGATCCAAGGCATTGGATGGATGGCGTTCAGATTTCTACAAAGATCGTCAAATTATCTTCATTAAAAGTAACTTTATTGTAAGATCTTAACGAAAATCAACTGACCGACGTTCTATGGGTAAGGTCTTAAAACTCAGATGATGCCAAAATCAGGAAAATTCTTTAACAAAATCTAGGCACAGAAAAATTTATGGGAGCAAACATCTGGCAATCCTTTCGACGTATTACAAAGTGTGCGTTCCAGGTGCTTGGTTCTGCTCGCAGCCGCGTTGGGACTGGATGCCAATTTTTTTTTATTTCAAACTTTACCCAGTTTAAAACGAGAGACTGTTCTGTACACCAAGAAGAAAAGTCATTTAAGCGCCAGATTTAATTCACAACTACCAAAGAGCAAATACAAAAAAAACAACAAAAACAACAGGAAGAGACTGGCTTCCGCCTCTCGGAGAAAACTTAACTGGAGCTAAAGCGATAAAGGAAATTAATTCTCGGAAAAACAAGGCCTCGAGATTGTGATACAGATAGATTCATCCTGTCCGGGAGTAACGAAGCAAGCAATTTTGAGTTATTAGTTTGACTGTGAAAGGAGTAGGAACCAATTTCAGTATGCAGAATTTAAAATAATACGACAAAAGAAAAACAAACATGCTCTGTCCACTGAACTCCATTAGAGCGAATTTTGCGCTCCTATACTTCCCGATTTTCATTTAATTTTAGATTTATTCCGTGTGTTCTCAGAACTGTGCAAATTATCCTAAACTGAGATCGATATATGATAATTTATTTACGTGTACACGTTGAAAACAGCCGTTTTGGGGCTAAATTCGGAACAAATAACCCACGCATGTACCATTGTGCTGAAAACAATAAAAAACCATCCCTTCTCTTACCAAATGATTACATGTAAACTGTGTACTTAATGGGTGATCATTGCCCCAAGAGAAGCTAAAAGCGATAAACGCAGTATGACTATTTTTGCCTGAAAAATAGCGCTTTGTTGAAGCTTGCAGTTCATCAAAAATCCAGCCACGAATTATTGTTTTGAAGACCTGATGCGATTTTTGTAAATATCAACCCAGACACTTCAAAATGTCTGAAAAGGTTGGCGTACTTTATAGGACAGGGAAGGCTGCTCTTGTGCGAGAAGTGCGCGTCAGTCCGAAGCAATTACAAACTCTCCAAACCTGACAATATAATGTGAACCGTTACTGTTTTAAAGAAAGCAACCTACTTACTTGGGACGAACCGTCACGGCAGTGTGGGTTATTCTCGGCCTCCGAACTGCTTGCGACATTTCTGGAGAATTTGGTTCAACGTGAACAGACCAATGCGAAATTGGAGTTGCTTGCTTGCTCTAGTAAAGCGACACTTCGCCTCCAGTTTCTGGCTTCGACGTTTGAAAAAGACAAGGAACCTTCATTGTTTTCCCACGCGATTTTTCACCAGAATGCCCTCGAGCTACCACAAGTTTTATCATTTAATTGCGGTCTTATCAAGAATGAATCAAATGATATTCATTTCTCGTGGGGTCATATACAATTGATTGTATACGTCGTTGCCAAGGCAACAATAACAGAAGCACATGAAGTACGTTGACTCCCAGGGGAAGAAGCTCTTGAAACTTCAAAGAAAATTGTTTTCTCGCACAATACCCTTCATTGCGATCAAAATTGAATCACATTTTTTTTTTTCATTTGCAATCGGACACCGACGAAAATTTCAGGTCACGACACATGGATTTTAGTGAGATCCGTACCTTTCCTGTGAATCGATTTACAGCCCTTATTGAAGCTCAGAACTTGTGATTACCTAGCCTTGATTTTGAAAAGTCTCAAATTGATTTGTACAACGGCAGCGAAAGGTTGTTATCTTTTCATTGTTTTAATTTTCCGAGGGTATCAACAAGTCAAGCAGCGCAAGAATAAAAAAATGTTAACGACTTAAGTTTCAGTCCTTGTCACTCGGTGGGACGGGAACAAATTTTGTGCTTTGTTTACGCGATCGAAGCAGTTTTGGTGAGGTTTTGTATTTGTCGCGAGTAATAATTTTTTTGTTCTGTTATTTTTTAATAATTTTTTGATATTATTTTTTTTAAGGTAGCTCCGTTTTACCCTTAAACCCCTTAGAATAACCAGCATCTAATTTTTCCTTACAATATCATACCTTAATCAAGCATAAAGGTCACGAGAGTGAAAGGAATAATCACCATTTACCAACTAAACTCTTGATTGTTAAACAAATTCTCCTTGTTAGCAATCCAGGAGATGTATAGAAACAGTATGGGGAATATGATTACTAATGTTAGGGCAAGGATTAAGACTGAACAGAGTGAACAGAGAAGGTTACAATATTTATCAGTAGTGTTCAGTCTAAACCATCTTGAAGCGAAATCGTGCGTTAAGCTCCCCAGAAAAATGCTGAAAACTATCTTTAAACCGCAGCATTCGCGACGCAAATTTTAGAAAATCAGCTGTAAAAGCAAAGGCCACATTTAGGAATCAAAAGGAAGTGATAAATCGGATATCGGATTAAACGAGATTAATTTCATATCCGAGACATCGAGATAAAAATGCAGGCAATGACTAGTTCTCTGGCATGATCGCTGCATTGTGCAGATGTTCGAACGGAGAACAAAAGCTTGGATGGCGTCCTAAGCTTGAATTAAAAGGAAACTTCAGCATTTCTGATCGCATTCTACAAACATTTATACTGAGTTTCAAGAAAGCGACGAGAGAGAGCGAAGGCGATGTGTTAAAATGAAAAATACATTGTTCAATCGAAAAATGATGCGAATCGGAAGTCAGATTAAAAAGAAGAAAAGGGCGTTTAATAAAAAGTGGAAGGGTCGTTTTAATCAAATCCTCTTTAAAGGCAAGCTCAGGCTAACAAGTCTTCGTTAATGTTTTCGTCATTTTTGCACGCAAATCAGTCGAAACGGAAGGGGCTTAGAGAAAGGTCAAAGTCTTCGACACTAAATCAAGCCATAAAGATTGAACAAGCGATCAAGATTCTTTTCCGATTAATCGGATGAGACAAATGCATTATTAGCTTTCTCCTGTACACAAATATATAGGTTCAGAGACTTAAAACATGGAAATAGTTCACTGTAAATGAACCCTGGTACCAGAGGTAACCGACATATTGCAGATAACACACTAAATCCCTACCCCTCCTCCCTCCATCACACGGGCTTGTCAATAAACGAGTTCCTAGCGAAAAGAAAGCGCCCTCAGCCACATATCAGCCTCCCGAGGTTTTGTTGAAATAAGATGATATTATCTGCCTAAAAGCTTCTGTACCTGAAATAATTAACGAGCGGACGGTCTTCTTGTTCACTGTAACTCCCAAGATCCGTTTGTAAAATCTCCCCCCGATCCCCCACATATTTTCTTGTAATGAGTTACGAGAATTTGGTGTTGGATCAAAAGAACAACTTTTACCTGATAAGTTTGAATATTCTCTTTACCTGTTTGCTGTGTAGTGTATGGATTTTGTAGGGAGACGTTACATTTCAATCACCTCTGGAAGTTTAAGGGTTAATGCTATTTGGTCCTATTTCAGTGCTTTCGGGTCATTTGCGATGAGATCTTCCTTGTCATATTTCCGGCGCGAAAAGCGACTATATATGTGCCGTGCTTCAACTTTTAAGATTATAGAGTGTTGTTTGTCATGAGAAAATTCCTTTCAAGGTTGTTCTCTTTTTCCACATCCTCCTTAACTCGAGACGAGAGAGGAGGAGAGGGAGATTACGACAGCCTCGGATGGATCGGAGCAGGCGTTGTAGTGCGACCCGTGAAACCGCGACTGCGAGGAGAGTCGGTAGGGTGAAGGAAACTACCAAACCTTGCAGCATCACAGGTGGCATCGCGAAGCCAGCGAAAACCTGCTAGTAGAGTTAAAACTCTAAGAACAAGGTTTGCTGTCTGGTAAATTAAAAGACCTTCTAATATCAACTCACCCCTCATCCTCATTCTGCATTGTTTCACTGATCTCTCGCCTCTCGTGGTCTTCTGTGCCTTGAATGTTCGGAGCGATCAGAACAAAGCTGTAAAATAAATAATCACAAAAGATATGGTTAATTTGAGAAGCGTTTCTATTCAAAATCCCGGATTTTTACTAAATCAGTTATCGATTGATAATGGTAATAGGA